GAACGCCTTCTTACAACAGAAAGGTGAGCTTACCAACATTAAAACCGCCTTGGCCAAGTCTCAGAAACAACAAGACGATTTGGAAATTTAGCTAGCTGCAGCGAGAAAAAAAATCAACGACCAAGAAGTGGAAATCGCAGAATTATACAATCTCCAAGATGCACTGGAACAATATACTAGAAAAAACTCACTCGAAATCCACGGAGTCCCAGAATCCGCGTACACCTCAACCGAGGAGGTTGTCCTTTAGCTCACCGAGGCTTTTGACGTGGATATAAATCCAAACGACATCGAAACATCACACAAGCTCCACAGGAAAGGTGTAAAACCAATTATTGTTAAGTTTCAAAGCCATAAAGCGAAAACAAGAATGTACAAGGGGAGAGCCAAGTTGAAACATGTCCGCATCTCTGACCTATATCCCGACTCAACAGCGGCAACTAGAGCAGAATCAGGACGAATATACCTAAACGAGAACCTAACATCCTACAGGCGGGATATCCTTAAACAGGTGAACCAAAAGTGAAAGGATGGTCTGTTGACATCCGTATGGTCAATGGACGGAAAAATATTCATCAAAACTTCCCCGGAGGGAAGTCCGATCAGAATCTATGAAAAAACTGACCTGGAGAATCTCTAAGGTAACCACAGTAGTATGATGTACTCTTAGACTTGTGGGTGGGGACAGGAACCAGGTGCCCGAGAGGCCAGAAGGAAAACTCTTAAATAAGTTTTTGTTTACTATTTTTTCTTTTCGTGTTCGCTTTATTTCTTTATTAAATTACCATAATTTTCAGTTTTCTGCATGTCTAATAAGCTAACTTATGACATTACATCGTTAAACGTAAGAGGATTAAGAGAGCAAAGTAAAAGGAGGAAACTTTTTTCATACCTTAAAGATCAAAAATTGAAACTCTATTTTCTACAAGAAACATATTCTGAGGTGAACGATGAAATTATTTGGAGAAATGAATGGGGAGGTAAAATATTCTTTTCCCATGGCACCAAACACAGCAAAGGTGTTTGCATTCTGATCCATCCCTTAGTGCAAGACAAAATCAAGTATTCTTTTAGTGACAAGTTCGGAAGAATTGTGTTAATTACTATTGTTATCAACTCTTTAATGCTATCGCTCTGCAATATTTACGCCCAAAACAATCAAGGTGAACAACTAGAATTTTTGCAAGAACTAAATAATTGTCTTATAGACAAATCAGAACTGACTACACTGATCGTAGGTGGCAACTGGAATTGCACTTTATCAAAGAATGATAAAATTGGTGGCAAGCCCTGGAAAGCAACCAATTATAGAAATTTAGTCCTGACTACTATGGATATACTG